TCCATAGCTTGGCTTCAAAGACTTTCCATTTAATCTCCTCCATAGTTAGCTCAGGCATGTGTACTGGTTCCCTTTGTAGCTTGATTCCCTCATCTTTAATTGTTGCTAGTAGAGGTGGGAAGAACATGGCAAGCAGCTCCTCAGCCTGTTCCATTTTATCTTTGGTAGAAGAGCCATCTGACTTTATTAATGGCGGTATCTTGTCGCTGAATGAGCTGCCCCCTGGTTTTAGATATTTCGTGGCTTGCCATATATTAGTATCATCAGCAAGGAAGTCCTCCCAGTGAGCTTTCTTCTGTTTTTGGATTATGTCATGATACTCCTTTGCTGCTTCTTGTGCTCATTATTTGAGCTCAGGGACTGCATGTCCTGCTCTATGCTGTGACCTGGCCTGATTTCTCTAGTAAGTGTATGTACGGCGAAGCTGCGTCAGATCTGTTGTCCACTATTATTTAGCATATAGTGAAGGCTTTGCCTTTGGTGTAAGTTTTAAGACTGCTTCTGTGACCACTATCATAAGGCGATCCATCTGCAGCTGGACCAAGCCCCCCAAAGGGACTACTTGCAAGCTTGTAGTGACTCTAGCTCTGATTTCAGCCCATGGCGTGTTCTTCCAGAGCAGCCTCTCACCAGCAGGTCGATCTGGAACTGAAATATCAAACTCTGTTTCAATTGCTTGATGATCTGATCCATGGTTTGTATAGTGTATACCACTTCTAACCATCTCTTCTGCTAGTTCTGTTGATGCTAATACCAAGTTGATTGTTGTTTCCATACCCCCTGATTGCCATGTCTTTATGCCTCTCAGTAGAAGACTGTGGAGAGAGTGCTTAGTCATGTAGTCAACTAAAGCATCCGCCTCCCCCTGTCTCACAGAAGATATTTGATTTCCGCCCCAGAGTTGATCATGCTGGTTGAAGTCCCCATAATTAAAACATCTGTCCGCATTCCGTCTCTTCCCTGTATATCTACTACTAGGCCATGCAATAGCCTAATCGTAGATATCAGTGCTTCCTCGTTATTCCCCTCCATGTAGACTGAGACCACTAACACTGCCCGGCCTGGCAGTTGTAGTATCGCGGCTGTCAGATCTGGTGACACCACTGGGATCTGTTCTGCCTTGGTGTTGCTCTGAACCCATAGCATGCTCTGGATTGGCCATCTTCCATCTTGTCTTTCTGTAGGTATCATCTTTGTCCAGTAGCTGTGTCCCATCGGGCTTGTCACAATCATGTTCTCAATCATCCGCGTGTATGGCTTGGATATTGCTATCACTCTGTAATCTCTAATTTTGTTATTATTCATCAAGCTTTGTTGTGTCATGTCCCTTTTGCCTACATTAAGTTGTAGTACGCGAAGTGATTTATGTATGAGATTGCATGAGGCACACTTAACAGTTTTTGCTAAATAACTCATGGGGTCCTTCATAAGGAATGCACTTTAAGACTACTGCTTGGCAAGTGCTGTGATGGTGTCCTTTATCTGCATATTTAGCGCATGTCTGGGTCTTCTTGCAGGAGAAGGCCTTATGCCCCATCTCTTGGCAGTTGTACAGTGGGGTGCAGAAAGTATTCGACCACCCCTGCCTTACCGCCTACTATTCTGCTGGCAGAAAACTACGAAACGCGTACATATCCATTACTTCCCTAGGATATCAACAACTAAAATGGGCCGTAAAGGCAAGTGTGAGAACGAACGAATAGACTGATATTCGCCATGGATGAATATCTAGCTAGAACGAAGCTATCTACATGAGCAAAGTGACGAGCTGTGTGCGACGCTAAGCCCAAACGGGCAGCGTAGGCGAACGAGTATCTCTAACAGGGTCATTGATTTCTTGGACGTTCTAACAGCGCTGGTATTGTCGCTGCCCAAGGCCTCTCAGGCCCTTGTTGAGGGTGTTATCACGCGTCCTGCACGCATTGTTGTTGTTGTCGATTCCCCTTCCATCGCGTCCGCCATTGCCAACCCCTGTAAACCTGTGTAGGTGATCACAGCACCAGTGATCGGTTATCCGAGAGCCTTTTCCTCTTCGCCTATCGGCTTAGCTGGGGGGGTGTGTTGAATTACTATACCGCTTTCCCTATTTGGATGTATTCGATTCTACTCAGCACTGCCACGCTTGGCAGAAAGTTCGATATCTTTCGCCGATTCTATGGATTCGATTCGAATCGGGTCACACAGTCCTTGTACAACTAGCTTATAGCTTTGACACCAGGAACTTTATCAAGCCAAGTTCTCTGTACGCCGCAGAGCCGGGAGCTGTGACGCCCCAGTGCAGCTCATGTCTCACATGATGTGTTTGCACTGTTTGCTCCACAACTCGCCCATGTAAATATTAGGTTGGACGGCGCCTGCGCCGTCCCTGGATCCTTTCCTTCTCTAGCTTAGAATTCCGTATCGTACCTACGAATAAGATTTACTCTTTTCCTTGAGGTTATCACAGGAGCAAGGAATTCCGGTGCGAGTCTTTCATTAGTCGACGCTCATTCTAAACTTTTGCTGCCTGTGCTTTTCGTGAAGCAGTACCTGGATCTATGGGATGTTGAAGCACTGAAGAGACTACTTGTATATCAATGCAGGTGAATAAAGGGAACAATATCAATAAAATTCCAGCCTCCTATACTATTTGGATAACCCCTCCCGAGGGCGTACAGGACGTTTTAATTCGGCCCTCGTCAATATCTCCGGATGTTCCGATAGGATTCCTCGATGCAAATCGACTAGACATTGGCTAGCTTCCTAGAGACAACTGACTCGTGCGTTAAATATAATTACCTTATTGAAAGCTTATCTAGTCTTGAAAACACCACAGGCATTTAATTCCTTCCGCTCAGATGACTTGTTCTATTATAATACAGCCCGAAATTCGAGGGTCCGATTGATGCTTACCACGATCCGGCAGACCCGATATAGACATCCCTGGAAGATATATACGGCGTGTATTAAGAGTCGCCAGGGAAGAAGAGGTCTGAACTGATCGATACGCCCAGTAGACAGATCCCTCTATTTCCGAGGCCCAGCCAGGAGAGGATCAAAATACTGAGTAATCTATAGAGTAGGTCAGCCACTCAGCCTACCGGGCCCTATCTCTAGGGAAGGCTCTAGTGAAGGGATTTTATGAACGCAGCTTAAGACTATAATCATGCGTTTAAGTGAGGAGAGGTAAAGAGGAACGCGCCAGATAAGACGGTGGTTGAGAATGTAACTACTGATTTTTAAACCACCAAGAGCAGGGCCATTTAGATAATAGCACAAGTTTACTTATTCCTAATTTTGAAGAATATATCAGATATATCTAATTTACACGGCTGTCACTTCATCTACATGGTGGAGACCCTTTGACTGTTATGAAGATGACTCGGTGGACTTTCATGTAGGCAGTAATTAGTGTCAGCCTTGCAGCCACCTTGGGACGTGCAGGAAGGACCTGAGAGGGCAAGCCGGTACTTACTAGATATAATAAGCTACTACTATTTTGCAACGTATCAGCTCATGCAGGGTAAATAGTGCAGTCTTCTCCCAGAGCTAATCAAGGCTTCATGAGGCTCGCAACTCCCCCTCTTCAGCTGAATGGCCCCATGCACTCGTCTCCTGGTCCCCTCGACATCACAATCTCGTCAATTTCTATAACACTTCTGCAGGCTGTGGCTTTCAATCTTTCTGAAATTTTATCTGGCACGAACTTCTTTAAGTTCGGACTGATGAGGTGTCGCTGCCTTCTACCCCAATTTGGGATGAGATGCACTGGCAGAGTTGGTCTTTGGCTAGAGTTTCGCTTCAGAGCAGCCAGCCCTTCCCAATCCTTTTATTTTTTTTAATACGCCAGACCCGATCAAAGTGAATTATTTTATCCTGGTGTCTGGTTCCAGAGATGAGTTACGTCCTTCGACCAGCGTCGTACGTGACATGAAGATCCTTCACCCCACACCCTCACTATAATCTCAACCACCAATGTCCTAACACTACGAACGTCGCGATGGGGCTTTACAGCTGATAACCAGATCATGCTAATGAAGCCATCACATGGGCTTATCAAGACGGACAACCACATTAAAGATCAGAAATGCAGTCTACCCTTACAGCTACCTCAGCATCTTCTACACGTTGTGAGAACAAAGCCCGTAACGCTGTCCACCAAGATGGCCCTCATGTATGACCCTGCTAGAAGTCAAGAGAACTCTTAATTGACATTCAGGTATTTGGACCAATACCGCCTATAAATCTTGGGAACCGGTTGGACGCCGTACCTAGGAAGGAAAATAGCTCTTCAACACCTTGACAACCCGCAAGTTTGCCGAGAAAAAGCACCATCGAGGATGTCGTTCTTTAACACGGTGGTGAAATTTACCATCCTCTTTACCCTGCCGCGAGCCTCCCTCGCGTTCATTAACCTCTGCACATACCAGTCCTACTAGTATGGCTACAGTCTGGCCTTTGCAGATGGTATGGGATCCCTGACACCCCTATCCATTATAGCCGGCTAATGGTTACGCTCTCCCTGTTGACTTCCAGTGCGTCCAGGAGTGTCCTAAAAGTATATTCAATATCACGACTACGAGTAGTACCACAGCTACGCTCACTACCACGATAATGTAGACGGCAAGTCTGACGGGTTGTATCAAAATACCCGGGTTCGTGTGTTGCCCAACTTCATACTTGCACTGTCGTGTAAAGAGTGGGGACAAGCGCAGGGATAGAGGTTAAATGGAGATCACGAGGCTTGATGAAGAGGTAATGAGACCTTGGTCCGTAAGGGTTATATTACCGCTATGCTCTGAAGAGTCTAGTTCTTGTTGTAGACGTGAGAGCAATTGGGTAGATGGCATCCTGTAGTGGCGCATATATCTATCTTTTTACACCATCAGACCAATAGGAGGAGTAGGAAAAATATAAGGCCGCTCATTCTATTGGATAATTCCCTCTATTTAGCATATGCTAGCCTTGCATGTTGCCGAACACTACGCAGGACTTGCTTACAGCACAACAATAGTATAATTCTATAGCGCTCTATTAATGAACCACCACTGTGCATAATCTGCTGACTGATGCAGAAGATATTGGTCCTCGTGAGGGGCTTCTCTGATAAGCTCTTCCATGGGCCCAATGGCCTTCAGTGCCTTAACTGAAACCCTCCACAACAAGCGTGGCTGCGATACATCCTGGTCGCTGAACAGCTCCCAGTGAAGTCGAACGTTAGCGAGGCCACCTATTCGCGAATCTCGCATCTGGTTTAGGGTCCCAGTGACCTGAGAATAATCCAGCCAGAGATTTTCTTGAGGACCCGGGACTCCCCACTTCGGCCCAAAATCCGGTTTACTCCGGATTGTCCCCAAAAACACCCCAAGAAAGTCACCTTCATACACTGGAATGAGAGAGCGCACAGAAAGGAGTTGATCATCATCTCTGGGTGCAAGAAGCATGAAGATAGACTTGTCTCTCTCGTCTTGGAAAAGTGACCTACCGCCGAATGCAACACCAAGGTTGTCGGGCGGGACCGCTATAGCTCCGTTCTCCGGCGTGAAGCTCGATTCTTCATCAGCGGAGAACCATGCATTGCCGGCATCATTCCACGATTGTCCTGGGACGGTGAGTCTTGCAGCCACGGGAGGAAATCGCACATATGATTTGCGCGCAACGTCACCCTTCATGTAGTGTGAGACTAGATATTCTAGTTGCTCAATATATGATCCATATGCCTTTTCCCACTTCGCGACTGTATCAATCAGAGAGGTTTCCGAGCTCTGAGGATAGGTCTTACAGTAACTGTCGAATTCTTGCGTGCAATAAATGAGGAATTTGTTGATACCCGCCTGTCGCATGTCGAATAGACCTTTCCACAACTTGCAGTGCTGTCGCTGACTTTCGGGACTTAGCCCATACCCGAGATCTTCCATCAGTCTCTTGGTTGCAGCTTTCTCAGCGGAGGTAAACCCATCATCCGGTCCTCTCGCTCTTGGCAACGTAGCCACATCTATGCGTTTTGCGCCCTTTAAAATTATATCCCAATATACTGTTTCGTTGAATCGAGACTGGAGATTCCAGCCTATCGCGACCGCATTATCTCTTTTTATTGCCCGGACCGCTTTGCAATACTCAAGCGTAGATATGGACTCGGCATAGTTCTGGAGCCAGGAAGGATCCGTGCTTAACAAGCCCTTCCATGTCTGATGGCCGTGTAGCCCAATCGTAGAATTCAGCCTGACGCAGTTCACTAATACTGTTGCCACTACCTTTGATGCATAGCCAGAATCCAACCATGGCGGAAGGCGGCTAACGAGAGCCACCTCTGAAGAAGGATCGCCCGGGCCCTTCACGTTTGCCGATGTCTATATGAAATGGCATTTAGAAAGTGATATGGTTCCCCGGAACAACATCCAATCGATGGAAGAGAACTCACAGCTAAAGGGTTTTCAGATAACAGTTGGGATTCTGCCTCGACCTGGGATGATGCTGAGACAGTAACTTCGTTTGCGGGTAGATTATCGGACGTAGCAGTAATCGCCCGATTATTGTATTCTTCGTTGGCTTCCGCAGCCTCCTCATCCTCTTGTAAGCGATTCCCAAGATTGCCCTTTGTCCCAGCTGCTTCGTCCGATATTCGTCTTTTGCCGTTGGTGCCGTCGCCTAATGAATGAAGTTGTTAGTTTGATCAAGCTCCCTAACCGCGCATCTTTGGGATTTCATTCACCAACCGTGGATGTTCGTACCATTCAAAGTCGCTTTGTGCCTTCTCTTCTTCCGAGTGGGTACGCATAGACCCTTCACATCTGGCAAAGTCCTCTTTGCGCCATCTAGGAGCCGGTAAGATCCTTGAATTCCATGAGACGTAGAAGGAAGTTCTTGGGAGAGAGAACCGATGATACGCGAGAAGGATGTTTCTTTTTCATTTATTCCGGCCTCAAGTAGAGTTTCATGGACAAGAATGCATATTAGCTAGAGACCGCACTGTAAATGCAAGCCACCTACTCACCTATACCGGACAGCTCGGTGATGAGTGGGTCTATTCGCTCACTCTTCTTAACCCCGAAAAGCGCGAATATCTCGTCGAATATTTGGCTTGTTAGGGCGTGAATTGCTGCCTCCATGGTTCCTGACAGGACAGCTCTACCATGGTACCGCCGCGGTTGGTTTATAATGGAGTGTCGTGATCTTCCAGGGGTTTCCATAGAGTCGTTTTAGAGACAGTACTCCAAGGTGGAGAAAGGAGAAAGCTAAGCCAATAATCGTGGACAAAGATTCACCATGGGTCTCGACCACGGAGCGATGTTCAAGCCCCTCCGCTTATCAAAAGAATGACGTACGACAGAAGCTCTTTCCCAATGGGCGACCGCTGGTCTAGGCTCGCATAGCCCTATGACATGCCCGGTAAAAGGGACAATGGCCGGCGGGTTTTCGATGACCTCTCCATCAGCCAATATGCGTGTTTGCCCAGGTGAATAATCAAGAGGACAGGACCGGTTAATCAGCCGATATCGATGGGAAAGTCCCTGGGGGCGAAAGCTGGGGTCGTGGTGTCGGGCGACGGTCAAAAAAAAAGGCAGTTCAAGTCCATTAACCATTCCCTCCCCTTGTCCGTCTGAATTCTCCCCTCTTGACTGAGAACACATCAGTAGTTCACGGGTCGGGGAACCTCAAGCACAGAAAGTTGAACACTTTGACTTAGGATCTACCAGGCATCATTAATAGTCGGGGTGTGTCGAGGCAGTATGGAAGCCGCCGACGGCTGCCAAGGACGTCACGGGGCCTGGGTTAAGCGGCACGAAGCGCTCCAGCATCCTAAGGATGTTGGACACAAGTTTACTGAGGACGGCTCAACGGTAAACAACATCAGTTTATTATGATATGTCGTTGGGTGTATTATTGCGCAGAAGCTCTTTCTTGACAAGCCCTATGCTCGCGTGTAGCAGTGTAGCAGCCCCATGCCCAAGCAACACAGTCGGCTTAGCTCCAACCAGCCGAAATCAGCTGCCCGGCCATACCCGTGGGAGCGGTTGTGTGGACCGAGGTAGGGCGGCGCCCAAAATAAATAGTTTAACTCTCCAATTCACTCTCAAGCCCGCCTTGGGATTCACTCTGGTGCCTTATCTCCATGACTGGAGACATTAGAACTACACGGCCAGGGACCCGAAGCCCAGAATGCAGCCAGGAAAAAGAATCTAGGACTTTGGCGTGCTCCAAATGGGGGCGCTTGACAACGAACCCCATATGCGTGGACATTTGCCCAGGTCATTAACTGGATGAGGGCATCGCTTCTTATCCTTTGACCGTTCAATTCTAACCTTTCATCCGTAGCTTGTTATGTGGGGCGCTTTTATTGGTGGTTCCCGTGAGCCTGTTGCCTAGCAGGTTATGTGGTCGTCAACAAGGTCTATTGGTGTGTGACGTAACCAGGCTATTCCATTTGTTGATCACCGGGCATCCTCTTCGCGAGTTGACCAGGAAAACCCATTCACCTAATTGCTGGTCAACGTGGGGTGAACGACAAGGGGTGGGCAAAGCCTGAGGTCCTCAGATAGTTGATGGTGTTGAACTCCCATAGATTGTCTCTCTGCTGAACACCACGATTTTGGTATGATCCAAAAACCATGGCTCTCCTAACTCATATATCTGGCCCATTCTCAAATAGACCCTGCTATAGATGATAACACAAACGAAGAAATACTTGTGATTCTCTATATGATCTTGCTGTATCTCCTAATAATTTCTTCGATATGACCTTAGAGACCCCTCTCCAGGAGAATAAGAAAAAGGGAGTCCCTTTGAAAAAGGCATTCCGGCAAATGAGAGAACGACGAAGGGAAGGCATCATTAAAAAGGCCTATGAGTATAGCAAGTTATGCGACGCGGATGTTTGTCTAGGCATCTGATTGAGGGGTTCTGGTTGGGTGTACACGTTCTTAGCTGATCAGAGTGGGTTTTGGTCCTCCTTCGAGTCACAATTGGTAGGATTTCCTTCGAGTGGGCAATGTAGACACTAATCCCCTACAGGAAAACTATTATCCTACGCCCATTCGGAGAACAACCGAGGACATTCCACAATCACATAATACTCAGCACAGCCGCCAGGACCCGGAGACAGCTATGTGATTCAGAGGGATGAAACATGGGCCCGAGTCTGATGATATGATAAAATCCGATGACTATCTACATGGTTTAAAGCGGTGATTGAATAGCTGAATGTCTCAATCCATCTGGAACCTCTTTTGCTACTCCTATGCGGAGAAAGGAGTATTCTGACAGACGGCAAGCGGGGCACCAGAAAGGCTCTTTTTTGCGTTGGACTTGCCCTCCCGTCTCGCCGCTTTTACCCGCCTGCCTGCCGCCCCAACAAGATCTATATAACCCTGACCAGACGAGGAGCATCTTTTTTCTGGAGTTGAGAAGGCCCCGAGAGCTACCTTTATCAGATGTCACGAAGCGGTTTTCGGACCAATATCCAGGAAGGACCAAGGGTCCTACCCAGGTATGTTAGAGTCCAAAACTCCAAAACAGATCACAGTGGCTCTGCTCCAAATGGTCATTCTATCTATGTTCGTATACAATCCATCAGTTGTAAACTAGGGTCAAGAACATTCTACCCTCAACAATTTTCCTTGGGGAATCTTCAAAGCGCTCCGTGTAGATGGAGTTGGTCGCGTTGGTCATAAGGAGGTTACCCCGGCTAAGTCCATCTGGGTTGATCGTCAGACTACCTTGTCGGCCGGTCTTATCCTTTTAATAACATATCCGCCTGGCATGACCCCTGGGGCATCCAGGTAGAAAGGCAAATTATGGCCGATTATGAGATGGTTTTAGTTACGACTTCATAGGCGTCCCATGCTTATGTCTTTACTTAGGTCATCGCCAGGTCCCAGAGAGGTGAGCGGATGACTTGCTGGTGAGTTGATAGAAGACGCGGGTGTAAAGACATACCCGCCTTGCTTCCAGGGGAATCCACAGGAGTATAGATATAAAACAACCTCGGATTAGCCACAGAAGGGCTTTGCGGAGGAAGTCTAGGATGCATGCTTCTGGATATCGCCCACCTGTCAATTCCCGGGGTGCTCTCAAAGCCGTCTGCGTGCTAGTATTGGTGATTGAACCTTTCGAACGATAAGCCCTTCGCTTATCCTAATGGTTGGCCCTCTGCCTACTCGATGCGACGGTATGGTGTGTTGACCTCAGCATAGGTCGGGGGGTAGGGTAACAATCGAACAACTAAACACAACAAGGATTGAAGCAGGGCCTACTAAGGACAAGTCCTAATTGGATTAAAACTGATATTTCATCCCTTACAGAACATGCAGCCCCAAGCTGACGTGAGATGGGAGGAGCTGCTTGATTCCAAATCCTATGCGGGATTTTAGTATGGGAGGATAGGATCGCGTCAGCTTCCCAGAGGTTTGTGTTGTACAAGCAATCTGCTGTGTTTCTTTGCATGCGGCTGCTTGGTAGATCATACTCCCTGATTTCTCGACAACCTAAAGTATAATAATAGGGAGTAGGATGAATAGAATAGAAATTATTAAGATATTGGTAAACAGTATTAATTTAAATAGTTTAATCTAGAGAATTAAGGCTTTTATCGCAGTGAGTTTTCTCTAGTACTCATCTTTGTATTCTAAGTTAGAAGATCGACATGATTGATGAGACTTCTATCAGCCCAGCCCAGTTCGGTATCGAGTTACGGGCTTGGGGGCCTTACCTACGGACTATGTAACACAGTAGGGCGTCAACAGAAGTATCCACTACACCAACATGATCATTGAATACCTGGTTGTATAGTCAGCAGATTGTTTTGACCCTCTAGCGGTAGAATTCTACAAGTAGAACCAAAGAAGAAAGATATAAATACCCCCCTGATCTCCTTGAATATTTCGGTACAGAACCAAGCAAGAATCCAACCTCTCCTTCTCTGTCAATTCCATTCCATGCTCCATCTGTGATATCAATAAAAGTTAGGGATCTCGCAATCAGCTCAAATCGGAACCCAAAGTCTTTTACAAGAATATATCAACACTTTGGCAAGAAAGATGAAGCTGTTATCCGCTCCAGTTACAGCTCTGATGCTGCTTGCTTCACTGTTGACCCCAGTCCTGTCGACTCCGGTCCAGACGGAGGCAAATGAGGTCAGCGCCAGCTGTTACATCACTAGCAAAAACGGCAAAGACTGCAACGCTAGCTCCTGCAGAAATGGCGGGGGCACCTGTACATTCAATGAACAGACTAAGAGATGCCGACAAGGCGGAGAGTGGAGTAAGGTTTTCGAATGCAAAACAAACTGTCGATGTGCCAAGGGCAGTTGAGGGACACGACGAATTTGATGTGACTGCTTAAGGTTAGTAAATGAGTATCCAGCTCTGTTCATATTCTTGTTAATCAAAAAAGTAGGCTCGTTGAGGAGTGATTAGCCAGGCTATAGGGGTCTCTTTCAACAGAAGACCAGTTTTTAGCGTTTTGTGGAACTTTACAAGGCAAGGATATAAAGGTCATTGTGTCCTTAGTCTTGGTGGATTTTGGAATCTGGCCTCGTACAACCTCGTTACCACGCATTACCATTATTGATATTATTATTTTCTATGTTAGCTAACTACCGTCGTTCGCTACAATTGAGTTGTCAATCGATCTGCCTGTGTGTCTGGCTAAATTCTCAAATGTATTGGTGATCTATGGGTATGAGTGATATACTATCGTGTCACCAGTGAATATATTTGCCAGTAGACAGGCTTTGTAAAGGCATTCAATATTTAGCATGCATCTAGACTCTCCTTTAGTTCTCCATGCTTAGCAGTTAGGATAGCAGATCACACATCAATGCTGAAGTGTAATATGTCTTCTCTGCCTGTCTACACTGTTTTCACCCGCTAGTATTTTCGGCATATCATCCACATTTTAGGCAGCTGCAGGTGGCATTGTCAGGCATCGACTTAGGCAGACAGTATTAAATATCATTCAAGAGAATAATTCACTACAATGCTTCAGCCCAAAACCGACCCCGTTTCTCATTTTTTCACGTGACCGTCAGATGGTCTTATAAAGGTTCGTTCAGACTTCATCCCTTTCATCAACAAAATCAATCCTAAATATCATCAGTTGATCTAGTTACATCCCACTCCATATCTTCTCAGTTAATTATCTCCTGACTATTGTTCCGATAACCCCATTCCTTTCCCTCTCTACCTTCCAGTCCTTCAATATGGACCCCACCCTGTTCATCTATGATATCAACAGAAAGGCGGAGATCCAACAGTCAGCGCAGACTGGTGATAGTCTGTTACAGGAATATATTGAGACTTTACAGCTCTTTGCAAAAGATAAAGATATTGTCATTATGCACTCCAGCTACAGTCCTGAGTCCGCCCATATTACGATCGACTCTACACCTGTGAAAAAGGACGAGGCTTCCACTTCCTCCTAGGGACGTTCCATCCTTTACCATGACGGCCAAGGCCCAACAATCAACCAAAGCCTCTGACGTACAACCATGCATTTTTCACGACCTTTTTTCAATCATGAACACATCACTTTAACATGCTTAAATCATCTGACAAAAACCAAAGGAATGAAATGACGGATTAGCCGGCCCTGTGGAGCAGACTGGGAAAGCAAAATACCTCTCTGTTGGTTGTGAGGACATGACTGGCATTTCGCACGATCAGCTTTAGACAGTCTCTTGCTGGTTATTAGTCTTGAACTTCTTGTGCAGTTCCCTAACAAGAACAATCAATCCATCGCAGGGAAATGACCGGTTATTTCATTTTGTTTGATAGCTTGATTTTGTACATGTTCCATGCAATACCAAAGATGATTGAGCAATGTTGCAACCAAATACTTAACTAATGGTATAGAATTATAGGAGCTCTATCTTTAGTAGATGATATTACCAGAACGATGGAGAATACTCAAAGCTGTAACACGCATAGAATGACAGCTAAAAATAGTGTTGAGTGCGGCTGTTTTGGGCAGCTCATTTGCCGTCTTCTAGTCTAAAATAGTAGTTTTCATCCAATAGTTGTTGAACCGTGGTAGAGGCTATGATTGGTTGGACTTGCCCTCTTGAGATGCGAAGCCTCCGTATGTCTCATTCGGCCGGTCACTTAATAGAGTGGGTTTGATGCTCTTAACCTCACAGCTTGTATACCATGACTTCTATCCACCTCGAACTAAATGGCAGCTCATAGAGGATTGCAGAAGCAGAGTTAACGAGTATAGGCCTATTGCTCCTGAGAACTACCGCCAAGGTTCCAGGGGCATTGGTGTTTCCTCGAACAGCCATTGTGTTCCTAGGATCGAGGATATCACTCCTTGAGAATGGTCTGATAAATCCCAAGAGTCCCGATGTTCATGAGCTAGTCAATTTCGCACCCAGGAGCCCACCCTATATTCAGCACAACCACAAACGAAGAAAGCTTTTCATGAGTGAGATCCTGCAGAATAGCCAACAACCTACATTCTACAACCCGCACATAATACTGACAGGCTTATTCCTCTGTCCTTATCAAGTAAGCTGGCAGAATATAGCCGGCCCCCTCTCTTAATTCGCTCCTCCCTGTTCCCAGATGGAGAGTCAAAGCGCATCGAATCTCAACTTCCCGTTCAGCACTCCCCACGCCCAAATCACAACGACGACCAAGACCTCGACAAAGGAGAACACCAGACTACCCCCAAACACTAGACCATGATATGTCCACGCGTTATCCAGATTGAGATCAATGACCTGGCACACAATTGCCCACGGAAGCACATAGAACATGTTGGAGATCAAGGACTGCGCGAGGTACCATGATATGCGGGTTGCGAGAAGGATTGCAGCAAATTGAATTGATATACCGTAAAGTATATAGCACCTACTCAACAATGTCAGGGGGTTTAACAACCAGTAAGTGAAAAAAAGAAGACAGACGCACCAATCTATAGTGCGCCACATGTGACCGACAATGTTCGAGACATGCGGAGAGTTGCTAAGCCACAACGCGAAAGACTCGCATCCGTATAAAGACATGAATATCAGCAAGGGGATCTCGATCGCGAGAACTATACCGGCAGAGAGAAGAGCGGGTCGTACAGTCCCTGCAGACGTGAGCACCCCAGAGCTATGTAGAAGGAAAACAGGTCATACCGTACAGACTCGACCACGACCGCCTTGAGGGATCGGCCCCGTGCTTGAGCTGGCCCCAGGCATGTCCCACAAACGTGAGCGCCGTAGCCTCCGCTGCCTGAACGGGTACCATTATTAAACCCCACCGGATCGTGCTAAACACGCCCCACGCCGTGGCATAGTCCGCTGACATAGACACAACACCGCTGACTAGCCAGAGATAGAGCGCATTCCGCAGTGCAGACTCGATAAATGTGATCGATCCCGGCTTGAGTAGGACGATGAACCCTTGCAGCGTCGGGGCCTCGGCACTTCGCCTGAAACTGACGGTAAACATGAAATATAACAAACCGGAAATCGCCGCAGCCATGTCGCAGGTTAGGCGGATGCCAGCCTGGATGTTGATGTCCGGGTTCCAGTTGCCGACATGAAACGTAGATATGATCAAGAGGTCAAGGGCAATATTTATTGCGACTTTGACAGAACTGATAAGAAGTGGGATGTCCGGTTTATCCAGGGCTCGCGTGGCATTCGATACAGCGACTTCAATGGCAGAGCTTAAGGCCGAGAAGGCGCTGACGCGGATATAGGTTATACTTGCTGCGCGAACATCACGAGGTACGAATGCCGATGCGAACTGTGAGCTGCAGCAACAAAGATGACACTCATCAGCAGTCCAAGGAGTGCTTGGAAGGCTATTAGGCTGTGCGCCAGGCCCAAACGGGCCTTCAACGACCGAGCCTCTGTATCTGCAATCGTGACCCAGACTGCACGCGGGAGCCCCTCGTTTATCACTTCCGCGACGGTGTTGATGTATGTATAGACATCGGTCGTCACGACCAGGGAGGAATCAATATTCGCGATCCAAATCTTGACGAGCGTGCTGTAGAGCGCGGGAAGGATAAATGCAGCCGTATTAAAGAGGAAGGCGCCAGTATAACTAGAGATAGTTTAGTATGCTCGAGCTTATATATGTTGGAATTCCCTGACTTTGAACAGTGCCACCATCTGTCCCCGACAGCCCATATTGGAGAGGAAAGGTCAAATCGATCGTGTGAAGGGCTTCTTGGATCTCCATCAGGAGTCGCAAGATGTGCTGACACCTGGGAGCCATTGGCTTCTGTATTTGGAGCCATCATCACATACCTGAAGCAAAGATAGTGCAGCGAGACGGATCCAACCTTGAATCCCGTCGTACCAGTTAGTGACCATCAGAGAATACCGAGGTTGAACCAGATTCTTCCCCGCATTGCTCTCTGCATACAACTCCCAACCCCGTTCGGGCAACTGCATCCTATTAATCAGCCGGAAGGCTTGGTCGAATGGTTATAGGTAGTTAACTAGATGGGTTAGCTGAGTAATGTCCTTCACGTGAGGCCATCCCTTCCGGTTCCTTTCCAAGGTGGATCACGTAGCCATCACCAGGGGCCGTGGGAACATGGTCATCTAGGAGCCGCGAAGAAGGGCCTTCATGACTGTCCCATAAATGGTTCAGGTCTGGGATTATTGAGCTCTGTGTTGATTGGCCGAGGTCGAGGATACGAGGGACAGGTATGGGCCAAGAGGTGTATTCACACGATCTACTCCAGGAAAAGGAACTCGGGCGTGTCATGTGGAGAAGACATTGATCCGACAGCCGAACCGAACAAGAAGGAACCCCGAGGAACCCTGACAGGAAAGGCTGTTCGAGACATCAGCCAGACCGCAGAAATGAAGGTATGGGATGCATGACGGCGTACAAGGAACTGATGACCTCTCGCTGAAAACATTATAGGAAATAGCCGCACGTCCCGCCATCAATCCAAACGGGTCCAACCTCTCCCTCCTTCACCTTTCGCATTTCGGACATAATGCCGTCTCTATACCGATATTCATCGGACGCCAGGGCAAGCAGGCGCTAGAGTGCCAAAGTAAGATCGGCGGATATCTCACTCAGACTCCTCATGCTCTCCATAGTCAGCAAATGGGCTGTGAAGCTCGGCTTCGGCTTCGTTTTCTATTTCCTCGGCAAACGGCGTGATTGAGAATTTGTGCGAGTCTCTGTCGTACTCAATCCATCGTTCCAACTGTGAACAGTGTTAGACACAGCGTTTACGTTGTATGGAGGACGTACACTTGAAAGTCTCACTCCTCGCCAGAGACATCTGTGTCTTCTGGATTTCTCGAAAGTCGCCGGAGGTATGTTGCATTCATCTTCTTCCGTTGGGCAATCTCCGAAGAAACCAGGCGGATAAAACGATTGAATCCAGATTTGTCCACGAATCAGAATGTCCTCGGGTGTCCATCCTATATCGTTGGACCAAGGCATCTGGTCTCCTTCAACAAGCTTATCTTCAAACGGAAATTGAGCAATCCCGTTCAAATATCTGACAAGCTTCCCCCAAGGTACGACGACCTCGGCGTACTTCATGCCAGTGGCCGTTTGCGACAGATACCACAGAAATGACAAGCAGACGTTCACTCCGGGGACTACGTGCTTGTCGTGAATCTGATCAAGGAATACCGACATAGTTTGGAACGCGAAGAAAGATCCGTAGAAAACAAAGCGCGACGAATCTTGAGAGTCGCCAAGAGCAACAAAATTTAAGACAATCCCCCGAGTATTGCTGGTCCAATCCTGTGGTCGTGTATATTCTTTATGGCATTCACTTCTCAGGAGGGCGTTGGCACTGTTGTATTCCAGCACGGCGGCAAAATTGCATGAGGCAATATAAACTCCTTGCATTCGAAACGGCGGGCCAATTCGCATGATATACTTGTCTAGAAGAGACAAGAATTTGACGCTTAATGAAAGAAAAGAGTCTGCGTTTCGGTTGAAGAGAGCGCCATGAGCCGCTACAAATGCTCGTAAGAGCTCAGGATCCGGACTTCGGTTATCCGACAGTGAATGGAACAGATCCTGAATGCGCTGGCGTGTTCCAGCAAACGATCGCACACTAACAAGAGACTTCGTGTAATAGAACAGCTGCTGCAAAAGATGAGGTCAGGCAAGGATGGCCAGGTGGTATTGGATTCGGCCGACATCCGGATTCATATCCGCAGCGTTGGTGTACCAAGACCTCGCAGCCTTAGTCCAAACTTCTCGCTCTTCCACATCGAATATCTCGAGCTTCATGCAATATTCAGATAAATTCCCCAGCGCCTCCGCCCACGTACTTTGATACCTCGGGACGGTCTCCCGAAGTAGAGTCATCATGAAATAGGCAAAATTGATATAACTTAGCATATGCTCACAGGAGTCAGGCAGACGATGTCGGAGGAGCTCTAGGAACGAGTGAATGCTGTACCGCCACAGGCGCATGGGCGTGGCGTGAATCTCCGGCAGCCGTCGCAGCACGTGGCTGGTGGTAAGGTGCTGGGACGCCCTGAAGAATTCGTGATGCTCTTGGACGAGGATTTGGTGAAGGTTGACTAGGCCCTGCCACTTCTTGTTGTCGAAGGGCGCACGGGAGTCAGACTCGGCCTCACGGATTTCCTTGCACTTGCTCTCCACCCTCATCAACTGTACATAGATCGTTATAAGCTCGTCTGTGGTCATGGGATCTGGTTGAGGAAAAATCCCATGTGATGCTGTACCTCCGGCTTTCTGGTGCTGGCCCAGGTCTTGCGTCGATTGTTGTCGATAAGTCGGGTTTTCGCTGGATTGTCGGGGTCGCTGCGGTAAGGGCGACATCACGGACGGGCCGGCGACAGTCGGATGAGACTGAGTAGTATCCTCGCGGTTCGAAATGGGGCTGGGGTGTGGCATCGGTGAAGGGAGTTGAGAGTGATCAATCTCCTTTCCAGTCACAGCTTTGCCACATTGACTTGCTGAACTTGAGCCTGACTCACGGGGACGAAGGGTGATATGTCTCCAACAAAGCTCAAATTAGCGCAGTTCCCATAATCTACTAAGCTAGTGTCAACCAGTCCGAGATAATAACGTTTGTATGGTAAATGCATACACGCGGAATATCAAAGTAAGGAACCTCTCCGCAGAGGCATCTCCGAGGCCTTGAGCGTCCTGATTGGCTAGACGATTGTGTGGATGATTGATTTGGGCGATCTGATTGTCCCTGGAAGGTTGTAAATGAAGTGTTTAATTGCCTATCTCGGTGTGATTTCTTCTCCCACCTCTTCCGGAAGGCGTTAATCTCATCATATATATTCAGATTATTATCTTCTTCCAGCTTCTCCTGCCTAATCGCGGCATAGTGAGGCAGAATTAGTTCAATGGCGTCTAGGAAGGCGGAAGTGGCAACATATCTAGTCAATTAGGCCAATCCAATCTCTTCACATTCGCCTATTGTACTCTCCCATTCTTCAAGCCATCTATCTATATTCTCATTCGGCTTCTTCGCGCCTAAGTGAGTGAATCAGAGCTTGAGGCTTGCAATACGCGATTGCTGCGATGGTTTAAGCTTCTTCTTTAGCTTGACTAGGCACTTCCGTTCGGATAGTTTCTTGTCTTTCAAGATATGCCAATGCTTCAGGCTGACCGTTGATTGGATGGTATTCCAGATATTCATCATTCCGGCCGATTTCTTCTCATAGAGATGTCGGGCGTCTTTATAGTCTTTCCGCGTCTGGGTCCAATCAAATTGCTCCATTAGATTCATAGATCCATATTGCTTTGCAGGGACCGGTTTAACTGGCTCCTTCGGCTCGTCATCTTGATTCATCTCATCTTCCGGATCGAGATATTTCCATATATTCCATTTCTTCGCGATCGATTCGATGTATCCAATCCATGTCCACCAATCATCGGGCTTATCTAGTATGATTGGGACCTTTGTGGACGTGGAATCAATTAGATTCGCTTGATATTCCGTCATGTTGGCTCATGGGTGCTGAGATTCCCTTGCGAATAGCTTCACGCCTTCCAAATAGAGAAGCCAATCGAGAGCTACGGCCTAATCGCTGAGGCCTAGCCCAGACGTGATCTAACTTCTTATACTAAGGGTGAGCGTCAGGGCAATGGAAATCCGATAGCAGGTGAACAATCCGGGCTCATAACTGTCAACCAGTCCAAGATAATAATGTTTGTATGGTAAATGCATACACGCGCAATATCAAGGGAAGAAGGTCTGATTCTTCTAATCTATGATATCATACTAGAATTTATAGACAGGAAAGATAGATGCCAGCGAATTGGAATCAAATCGGCGAGTTGAATCGCAATATGATCTATTTCTCATGATCTAATTGGTCAAACCCGAATTCTGGAGAGTTCCGTAAATCCTTTACTAGATTTGGTAGCCTAGCTGGCTGACAGATAGATAGGCTTATTTGAGATGCGTTGGCTAAAATGGAATGACATCCTTCTCCTGGCATAATCTCCTAAATTTCTTCTAGCCTATTGTGTAGCAGGCAGGGCCCGCTGGGTGCTCGGGCTGTTCAATCGAATCATACGGCCCTTGCGAAGTCATATCCAAACTGGACACCAGCTGCTGGCCATGTGACCTCGTACTAATCAATGTAGCAATCTGCCCGGTCACGTGACCGCGAGAACCATTCGCACACTCCTTTTATGTTCGGCCGCCGCGGCCCTAGCTAGATTTCTCCCTTAGCGATTTCTTACCGTCCAAACCTAGGTCATAGGTTTCTAGGGCTTCTAGCCCGTGACATTATTTACTATATTACACAGTCAAATCTCTCAGTTCTCTAATAATTATCCCTCATCTATCTATGAGGATACCCCTCTAGATAGCTCTTCCTTCCTTCCATCTGATGGTCCACAGCCATTCTTCCCTGACGCCTCATATAGCCAGCAGATGCCTACTTCTATACCTGATACTGAATTCACCTAGCCTCTGGTACCACCCTCCATCCCTAACACTCTTGAACGCGTTGGCCTAGAGAAGAAGAAGAAGAACTATCTTCTCTGGACACAGATGGTGAATGATGAATTTATTATGTGGTGGTTGAAGACTAAGTTTGGAAGTTAGTTAAAAAGGAATATCTTTAAGAATAAGTATTAGGCAGAGTGTTAGAAGCATTTTCACCAGGTTACCTCTATCTAAGATGGGTCTCTGAAGGTTATATGTAAAATATGCAGCTAAATCCTTAATTATCCAGCAGACAGCCATTATGGAACATCCTCTATGAATAAATACTTGCAAGGGGTTAACTGTCAGAGGGTAGCACCTTATTCATAAGATATTAGAAGGCTTATACAAGAAGGGGTATATTAATATATTCATCCCTACAGATTCATTTTATCTCTACTAAGTTCTAGTTATCTTAGGCACATCTAGCCTCTTAAAAACCTACCTTTACTCCACAAGCCTGGATGGAGAGGGTAATTACATTTATTACTACCTTATAACTGCCATTTCAACTCATTAAGCACCATTAGTTTAGTGCCCTTATTAAGATGGCCTGGCTTGCACCATCCTTACCCAAAATCCCTTCTGTATATATGGTCTGACATCACCTTTAAGAGATGGTTAAAGAATAACAGCAGAATCTTCTTTACAAGCTTCCTACAGGTGCTAAGCTCTCTATTATATTAGATTACTGGACCTCACCCTTTCACTAGGCTTTTATAGCTGTCACAGGCTACTTTATTAATGAGGATTGGAACTATTATGAGATCTTGCTTAGCTTTGAACTACTTTTGAACTACTTTATGGTACATACACAGGAGTTAATCTGAGCTTAGTTCTCCTTAACCTACTTTAAAAGCATGGGATTGAGGACCAGGTCTTAACTATTACCACTGATAATATGTCTAATAACTCTATGTTAGTAGAGAGCATCTAGGACTCTCTTCAGTCACTTAAGCTACTAAACCAGACACTAATCATTCATATATCATATATAGCATATGTTATTTAACTTGGTTTAAAAGAGCTTCTTAGTAGGATGGAAGTGAACCCCAGGAATAAGAGAGAAGAGATGGAATAGACTAAGGAAGAGAACAGGGCTCAGTAAGAGAATTAAGAAATTATATATACTCTTAATAAGGTAAGCTACCTGTTACGGCACCAAACACCAACTACAGCAGCAATCACGTAAAGCGGAAAAAGCAGGCAGAACTACGGAGCAACCACCACCAATCATTCACCACCAGCAAAGACTGCAATTCAAATGACATAAACAACACCCCCAACCAATCAGGACGATTATGGAATACCTGAGGGACTACCATATACCAATGCTTGGCAAAGGTAGATGGTAGACAACTACCACCGGCGGCTACCGTGAAATGGTAGATGGAATGGTAGAGGACTACCAACGGCAACTACCATGAAATGGTAGACAAAATGGTAGATGAGGAAGGAACTATATAAGGACACTCATTCCCACTGTATCTAGAGATCTTAGTTTAGTTCCTTGTGTTCAATACAAATAACTCACTTGAGTACAAGTTCACTAGTCTGATTCGTCAGCTACTCTCTTACTATTAAGGACACGTCCTTAATAGGCCTTGCTTCTATCTCTACTGTTTATTGTTCTTGTATTACCTTTGGATTGTCCTTGATCCTGTTTGGATCATTGTATTCTTGTGTCAGACATATACCTGGTCGGTATATCGTTAGGCTACCTGGTCGGTAGGCCTCAGGCAAGTATCGGATATAGTCCAGGGACTATATCACCCCGTTCCCAAAGTAGTTGACTAGCAGAAGAACAGTAGAGATGGATCCCAGGGTGTGACACTACCCTCTTTAATATTACCTTAGTTCATACTTATAATATATTAGGTTCAGTAGCTTGTGGTCTATATTAACAAGAGCCCCTAATACTAAGAGGCCTTACAGAACCTTCAGATAACAGAACCAAAGCTTATACTAATGCAGGATGTTAGGACCTGCTGGAATTCAACATATCTAATGCTCCAGTGCGCTAAATAGCTATAATCTATGTTTAATAGGTTCTGCGCGTAGTACAGTCACCATAATCTATAGCTAAGCTAGGAGGAATGTGTCACACCCTGGGATCCGTCTCTGCTGTTCTTCTGCTAGTCAACTACTTTGGGAATGGGGTGATATAGTCCCTGGACTATATCCAATACTTGCCTGAGGCCTACTGACCAGGTAGCCTAATGATATACTGACCAGGTATATGTCTGACACAATGATACAATGATCCGAGCAGGATCAAGGTCAATCCAAAGGTACACAAGAACAATGAACAGTAAAGATAGAAGCAGGGCCCATTAAGGACGTATCCTTAATAGTAGGAGAGTAACTAATGAATCAGACTAGTGAACTTGTACTCAAGTAAGTTATTGATATTGAATGTGAGGAACTAAACTAAGAGTGCTAGATACAATGGTAATGAGTGTCCTTATATAACTCCAGCCTCCGCTGGTAGGCATAGTAGATGGTATATTGGTATATTGGTAGGTGTTTGTGTTACCTGTATACCATTTATGTCATATACCAATATACCACATCACGTGGTAGGTCTGACTAACCAATCAGCCCTTGTCTCATGATGTGTCCAATCATCTTCAACGATTGGATGTTTGCTTCTCATGATTCTGCCTGTCACATCCGCCCTTTGGGCTAGTGCGGCTGTGTTGGTGTTGTAACAGAATGGCAGCAGATTAATTATCTTCTTATAATCACTTAGCCATTCTTTACATTCATAACCACCCTCTTAAAGACTAAGGATATTACTGTCTATACCATCTTCAGTATCTACAATAAACTTTTTTGTAGCGGGCAGGGCCCGCCGAGTGCTCATGCTCATCAAGCCCTCGCGATCTGCCTCAGGCACCAACGAACTCCCATCCAGAGAGGACACCAGTAGTCATGTGACCTCACCGCCATTCGCGCACCCCTTATTATATTCGGCTATTGCAGTCCTAGCTAGAACTCTTCAGCGATTTCTTACCGTCCAAACCTAGGTTATAGGTTGAACCGGCTTCTAGCCCGTGACATTAGATGCTTAATTCCTTCCGATTCCTACCAATTCCTGCTTGATCCTGTTCAGTTAAGACATATATATACGTATTGATCAGATTTTTGAAGAAAAGAAAAGTCAAAAATCTGTTACAATTCATCATTTACTAACCACTCATTAACTGTTTTATTTTTCTTTTTAGTTTTTCCTTCAAAACAAGCTATATCAAATTCATTTCAACTAAAGTGCTTGTAATCTGATTTACAAGCGATTATTGACCGATTTACCGCTTATACAGATGTTTGGGGGGACCTCATGGGTGCCTTGCCTTGCCTTTACCTGCAGGGTCTGGGTGAATATTACCACATTCAAGAATAAAGTGGTCACACTTATTTATATCCTTGCAGCATTCACGTCCATTAGCCACCTCACTCAGGTAGCAGTTGTACCACTTCTGCATCGACCAATTAGATTCTGCATTTTAATCACTTGTTTATCGATTTTTAAACAATAAAAACTTACATTGGTCGAGAGGGCAGCCATGGTAGGTGCAGTTGTAAAGAAGTCGAAATTAGTGACGTGGATCGAAACTTTTACCAAGGGTGGTTTCTGTTTACGTGGCAATCACATGATTGCCAGGACCATTAATCAGCAGGAACTTGACACGCGACCGAAAAAACGAGGCTTTGTCATCTGCAACCACGTTACAGTGTGCTCTAAGGTACTGGACTAGCATTAATACAGCCATACGGAGTAAAACTCCTATTTTGTGGTACTGACAGACCCCCAGAACAGAAGCCATCCCTGTATTACAGCTGGTGTTTTAAAGTCTGGGTTACTTCAAGACAATCCTTATGAAAGAAGGGCCGGCGATGAATAGAGCAGTCATACTGATGACTTCAGTGCGACAGACATAAAAGTTTCAGCAGTATAATGGTGATATACAGTCATTCTCGAAATTGCCTTGACCGGTACACACTATGACTATCTTTCTCGGCCCCGCTGCCAAGCCTTTAGCGCGGATCATCTATTGGGCCCACCCCATTAAGTTGCGGTCTGGTGTGTTCCCCCCAAGCTTGTACAGTGACGTTCAAAACCAGTGACATTCAAAACATGGGGCCCTCAACTCGATGCGTCCAGCCCAATAGATGATCCACGCTAAAGCCTTGGCAGTGGGTCCATTCTTCTTCTTGTGGGTGTTTTTGAGAGCAGTTCGGGAGCAGTCCGGGAGCAAGCGCGCTGTCTCGGGAGCAAAACGACTCCCGATGACTCCTGAAGCAGCCAAAAAGGGGGGGGTACACAAAGGAGATTGACTTACGGCAGCCGCCAGTGGTGCCATGATCTTTCTTGTCGCATGTCATTATGAGCAGTACATCCGGAGGAGCAAGCCTCTCAGGGGACATCGTTGACACCAGTCCAGCAGAATACCTACAAAATGGAACCAGCGCCATACGGGCCGGCTTACCTTATGCTGTGATTGGTGAGGAGTTTTGGAACGTTGAGCGCCTCCTAGATTGTCGCACGGGGCGGAAGGGACGGAGAGGTCGCCTACCTGACCATGGAATAGTTGGCACGGGAAATCACGGGCAAGAGCATGATACATGTAACCAAGGAGTTCACTGATACGAGTCGTGCCAAGCAACGCCAGAGACTTTGAAACGGCTTATTTCTCTTGTCAGAAGGGACAAGTCCGTGGAATCAACCTTGGTGAAATCTGCTTAGGCGCCGGCCTGAACCACAAACGCACTGACAAACACATTTCTGAAGGTGGATACTCAACTCTGGATGTTCAGCGGTTTTGCCTCGGAGAGCTCTGCTGGTTGTGGCTACCTAACCTATGTACAGAGTACAGTACGAGACTGGTGGTATTACGTTGGGTAGGGAGACATTGCCAAACTCAGGGAGAGAACAGTACCTGCTTTTGAGGATCCATCTGCAACCTATTGCCCGTAATAAGTGCATCTTCGTACCTAGGTATGGTTAAGATGGGGTTATTCCGCCACGTGTTCATTTATGGATAACCTTTTGTGATATTCTGCGCAAGGTCTATAGCTGTAAGTTGCTTTTAAAACTAGATCCATACATTCTTGAGTCTTGATATATATCCCGATCCTGAAAGCAGCCGATAAACTCTGGTGCGTAGAAAAGTGACTTTATACATTCAGGCTGGTATCGACGGGGATTCCGTTTATCTTCTGACTCTAAGCCAGCGTCTCTCAATGCATCGTCTCTGCCTCGGAGCCTCCACGTACTTCCCCTGATTGCTAAGTGCCATTCCTAGGCATGCTCGTTACTAATGTTTCCGACTCTCCCAATCCTGGAGAAACCTAGGCGCTAAAGAAGGATCTTTCGACCATTTCCAACCGGGACATATGATGATATATCGACCACTTCAATACCTAGGTAATTGAATTACCTTGGAAGAGGGACTTTTGGCGGCAATTAGGCAAGAAAACGGACCGGAGCCCCACTTAGATCACTTCCAAATGGCGTACAAAGCTTGATCTCACCCGGGGCTCTTTCTTGGATTCTTCCCTTTACATGAATCACAGGCTCACACAACACCAATCAGCCATCCCGATGGTACCGAGTACCACTCCAAGATACCTCCACGATGGCGTCCCAACACATTCAGGTAGCCACGCCGCCCTCCAAAGACGCCATCCTCGAATCCCTTGTTGAAAATGTCCGCGCCTGCAATGCGCGCCTACCGCCCGGACGCGACAATATCGTCTTTGGCGCGTGCGAACTCGAGGCGGAAATGCCGCTGCTTCTCAACCGGCCTGGCGCGCCCCTCCCGTGTAGGGAGCCGCCCGCCGAGTTCGAGACCGTCAACGCCCACTTTTCAGCCCAAATGCACGCTTTCTTCAACGCACTGCACGACCTTGAGGACATGGCAGACAAACCGTCCTCGGACGACCTGGACCTCTGCCGCCCAGACGAATGCCTTCGGCCCGTCATATGCGTTTCCAACCAGTCCTTCGAACCCCACCTAGACTGCTTGCACCGCGCCTTCCACACTCGCCGCCTCACCGTCCAGAACCCGGACAGCCTGCCCCTCCTCAACCGCGTCACTCAACTGCGCATCCTCCCCGACCGGGATTCCACCTTTGACCCAATCAACATGCGGCCCGTCTCCTTACGCACGCCCCTCGAACTCGCCACCCGCCTCCCTCAACTCCGCGAGCTGGACTGCCCCTGGCTGTGGGAGCGCCTTCCCATTGCCTTCACATCCAAGGCACTGCGCATAATTTCCCGCGTCTGGGCAGGTCCTTGGCGCGATGACCGCGCCGAGTTCGCGCGGGCTGTGCGTCATGCCATGCCCTTGTTGCCATCCTCCCTCACCAAGGTCCGTCTCTGGTTCTGGAGGCCCAGCTCCCATTGGGACGAGGTGGACCAAGCGGCGCAGATGCCCGACCTTGTTGGCGCGTCGTCGTCGTCCTCGACCAACGAGTTTGAAGGCATGGACCCTGTGTCTCTTGGCCTGCGGGACCTGGGAAGTCGCCTGGAGGAACTAGACGTCTGCGCGCTCATCACCCCCGATCTTTTCCCTTCCGGTGGCGACGGTTTGTCATGGCCACACATGCGGCACCTCAATGTGGAATTCCACCCGTGCGCGCCCGACGGCAGCTGGTACTTTTCCGGCCCGCGAGGGGAAGATCCCCACGCGACAGGGTTCGCCATCACGAGAGAGGAGCACTACCCGCCCGGCCAGGAAGACGACGACGAGACGCACGAGTTGATGTCCGATGAGGAGGAAGAGTACCAGGGCGACGCACCGGACATATACGACCTCCGCAACCCCGACATGTTCCGTCTGCGCCCCATCGCGGAACGCATCAACCCTTTGCTCTTGGCGTTTGCCTTGTCTCTGCAACTGCAAAAGATGCCCGCCCTTCGAGACGCTGAGCTGTTTACGTGGCTTACGCGGCGGCCCTCCAAGGAGAGGGCGAAGGAGTATGAAGGGAGTGATGACGTGCCTCCAACTTCGTATGAGGAGGAGACGGTTATGTTCCGATGGGGGGTGAGATACGAGGCGCCTGCCGTTGGAGGAGATGGGAAAGGAAAAGTGACCTGGCAGGTCGATGAGGACTGGAGGCCGGAGGACGGAGTCATCAAGGCGTTTGAGGATCTTGTGGGCGGAGACGGGGGGAACATGGAGTGGAACGCGTTTGAGTTTGTGGAAGAGAGGGAGCAGGATCCAGAGGACTATATCTGATTCTCATCAGATTAATGTACAGAATCAACAATCCTGGCCGGTAGACCACACTCGAATCTCAAATTCAATCAACGAAGGGCTGATAATCGCGCTCACTGCTACTAACAAGCAGAAAAGAAGACACAGCCAACTTCTTCAATTGATTCTTGTCCATATACTCCCCCTGTATGGTCAAACTTGTTACTACCTCGCTAGTAATCAGCAGCATTACTCACCCCCTTCCCTGTACTAGGCACTAACACCAACACAATACGCCTCCCCTAACCAATAATTTGTCACACAATCGCTACTCACCGCCGGATTCCACGCCAAAAACTGCTTCAGCATAATCCCCGCCTGGCTCGCCAATGCTGTGCAGGTCAGACCGTCAGTCACAAGGGACCACTTGTTGCAGTTAGCTGGCGAGCCGGACATGGTAGGCCCAGGAGGCGTAGGTTTCGTCGACGTAGGCTTGGCCGTCGTCGTGGGTTTAGTCGTCGTCGGGGTAGACCCGCCAGCAACACCAACACAGTACGCCTCACCTAGCCAGTAGTTGGTAGAACAGTCGGAGCTAACAGCCGGGTTCCACGCCAGGAATTGCGTGAGGGAGATGCCGGCTTGGGTGGCTAGGTCTGTGCAAGAGAGGCCGTCGGTGACGAGCGACCATTTGTTGCAGTCGGCGGGCGAGCCGGTCATGGTTGGGCCGGGCGGTGTTGGTTTTGAGGTTGTGGGACTGGCGGTGCTTGTTGTGGTTGCGCTGCCGTCGTCGCCATCGTCGCCCGAGATACCGACGCAGTAGGCTTCGTCGACCCAGTAGTTGGTCTTGCAGTCTGACGAGACCGCCGGGTTTCATGCCAGGAACTGCTCGAGGGAGATGCCGGCTTCTGAGGCTAGGTCCGTGCAGGACAACCCGTCCGTGACGATAGCCCACTCGTTGCAGTCTGCGGGCGAGCCTGACATGGTGGGTCCTGGTGGTGTCGTGTCCTTATCACATCAGCCAGGGAATGCTGAGGTAGAAATCAAAGTTGTGTATGATCCTGGCAAACATACAATGAAGAAAGGCATCCGGACTTTTTGCATGCTGTACCTCGACTGAGATCAACAGGTGCTGTAGATTTACTAATGGTTGCTATTTTTCTAGGCGGGCCCTAAGATGTAGGTGACACTTTAACAATGATGCCCTAAATAAAGACGTTATAACCTAAACGATATGATGCCCAACCCATAATGTAGTCTGTCATCTGACAAGTAAATAAGCTGCAGGTATTACACAATCTCAGCTTTATGCTGGCTCTAATAAGCTTACAGTAGAGACTCATCCATTGTGATTGTAACATTAAATCCATATGCCAAGCATTTGGATATCACTATTACTTAAGTCCTATACAGTTTCTGCGAAAACAGTTTTCTTCACCTGTACTCTCTACGGAAGTGCTTGCCAGTATGCACCTACAAATCACTCTTCTCTATCCCACAGGGGGTGGAGGACCCTAGTAGAGTCCGAGTTAGGGTTTGGCCTGAAGCAGGATGGTGGCTGGCTTGGCAGAGAAGGGTCCGACTTTTGAATTGGGAGGTAGGGTCGTGGCACCAGATAGAGTTGTGTGCATTTCAAATTTAGACAGCTTACTGGGTAGCCAATTCAGCATGATCTGACCAAATTTCAATGGGGAATTTGATGATTTGCGGATGTGGTAAGGGTGTGGTTCATGTGCCAAATTTTGATGTGGTTCATTCCCGCAGAATAGTATAGATTAGAATAGCACTACCCATAAACACCCCATGGCTGCAGATGCAGTCGTAGGCAGTTTAAATTTAGCCAGTTTACTAATCTGCTAGTCCTGAGTTATGCAGCTAATTTTCAGTATTAAAATGAATGATTTGCAGGTGTGGTGAGGCATGTTCCATCCCCCAGATTTGGTATAGTTTAAGTCCCCGTGGATAGAAAAAGCAATGCCCACAAAGAAATTTAGGGGCTGAATCCCATCATTATTCAGATAGTTAGTTAAAGAGTATGATATTCATCTAAACCATCCATTAAGAATGGAACAGCAGTGTTGGTGAAAACCATGCTATAGTTGATTGTTGACCATATCCATGGGTTGATCCGCTATGGTTGATCGTTGATCATATCTATGGTTCTAACCTTATGGTCATGGATCATCATTGATCATCATCGATTTCAACCATTAGCAAATGGTGATCTAATCTATGAGATCACCCAGCTATGAGATCATTCAATATTCGAATGGCCTATGCTAGAAGGAATCATCTATAAATACACCCTTAAAATCACCCTATAGCTAGTCATAATTAATTAAGGAATTAAGACATTAAGCTAAGATATCCTTAGCTATTTTTCCTTCTACTATTCTATTCTATTCTACTACCATTCCTCCTATTCTTCCTTTATACCTAGGCAAGCCATCTATTCCCCTCTATATTCATGAAATTTCCTTTGTCATTTATATACTATTTAGTATATACTGTTCATTTTTATTCACAGGTTATGAGCCCGGCCTTGCTCAAAGGCAATTCATTATACCTAGGCCTAGCCTAGGCATCTATACTATTGATCATTTATTGATCGATATCCTTTCATATCCATATACTAGGCTCATGCCTAGCATCGATTGATTATCAATCGATATTCTGAGCCTATAGAAGTCATATTTAATATGGCATCTATGGATAAGATAAGCCTACCAAAGCTACGAGGCTCAGATAACTATATAACCTGGTCTATTAGGACTAAGGCTACCCTTATAAAGGAAGATCTATCCTCTACTATAGAGGAAGATATCTCTGGCAAGAAAAATGATAAGGCACTAGCTATTATTAAACTTCTATGTGAAGATGGACCCCTTCTTCATATAAAGGATATAGCTGGGGCTAAAGAGGCCTGGATAAGGCTTCAAGATCTTTATAATCCTAAGGGGTTTACTACTGAATATCTTACCTTAAAGGATTTCTTTAATACCACATTGGATGATTTCCAATCGATGGAGGAATACCTTAATAAGGTTAAGGCATTAGTAGATGACCTAAAAGGAAAAGATATCATTCTGCCTAACCAGGTTATTATAGCCTGGGTGCTAAATAGCCTAGGCAATGAATATGAAGGGTTTATATCTAATATAACCCAGGCCCTTAGGAATGACCCTAAAGCCTATACCATTGAATCCCTATTTTCTAGCCTTGCAGACGAGGCACGAGGAAGGGAAAATGGTCATAATAATAGCCATAGGCTACTATATATTAAGGCTAAGGGTAAATCCTATAAAAGGCAGGCCTTAGGCAGATACTGCCAACATTGCAAGCTTACTAGTCATGATACTAGTAACTGCTATTTCTTATTCCCTAATAAGGCACCTAAAGGGTGGAAAAAGGGGAATAAGAATGATAAGATGAATCAAAAGGATATAAAGGTTCAAAAGAACCAAAAGAATCAGACTAGACTAAAGGATAAGGATGCTCTAGCAGCAGTCCTATCTAGTCTAGATCCTGATGTCTTATATGATTCCTCAAATATGAATCTTCATTCAAATCCTCAATCGAACACCAATTCGAATCATGATTCATCTAATAGTCATGAATATGATCATTTAGATCAAGATATGACTAAGAATCCTGAAATATATACCCTTCAGGCTATGGACCCTGATCCATTGCTAAATATAAATGATATCCCTGATGACCAGCTATTTGATATAGCTGGGAATGAGGTATGCCTACCTCTTATAACCCCTAATACTAGGGCAGTCACTAATATCAATAATAGTGAACTAGATCATCTAGTCACTAATGATCACTTATTACCTCAAGAAGGATTAAAAGTGGATTTTGTTATTGATAGTGCTGCCACTATAAATACCATCCATAGAATGGACTATTTCTTTAGATATAAAGAAATAAACAAAATAATTTCATGGGGCAAGGCTAAAAGCCTAATAGCTAAATATCAGGGTGATATCCTTATAAAATACCCTTCAGGGTATATAGATATAATAAAGGATGTCTATTATATCCCTGAATTAGGGATTAATCTTATTAGTGTGGATAGAATATCTGAGGCACTAGGGACAACTACTATCTTTACTAAAGATAAAGTATCCCTATATAAAAATAACCAGTCTATTATAGCTGGATATAAAAATAATAGCCTCTATCATATTCTATTTACTATCCTTTACCCTAAGGAACATATCAATGCCTGCCTAAATAACTCAGAACTATCTGAATTTCGCAAATGGCATATGAGACTAGGACATATAAATGCTATACCCCTAGGAATGCTACTTAGCACTATGGGAATAGCTATATCTAGTCATGAACTAGAAGAATATAAAAGAAATAAATGCCCTACCTGCATCCTTGCTAAGGATAAAAGGTATATTAATAAAGAATCCTTTAATAAAAAGGAATATGATATCCTAGAAAGGATCCATAGTGATATAGGAGGCCCCTTATCACCTACCTATAATAATTATAGGTACTATATAACCTTCCTAGATAAGAAATCTAGGTATCTATGGTTATTCCTGCTAAGGCATAAAAATGAGGCTTTTCAGACCTTTCTAAATTATGCTAAAAAGGCAGAGAATAATAATAATAAGAAAAGAATAAGAGAATTCTTTTCAGATAATGGGCATGAATATACTAATAAATGCTTTCAAAAGGCATTAAATGACTATGGTATTATTCATAATACTACCCCTATCTATACCAAAGAGCCTAATGGCCTAATAGAAAGGATAAACTTAACTTTACTTAGTAAAGTAAGATCCCTTCTAATAATGGCAAATGCTCCCAAATATCTATGGGGTGAGGCACTACTAGCTAGTGCCTATCTATATAATAGAACCCCCCATAGTGCCTTAGCATTCAAAACACCTTATGAGGTATTTCATAAGGAAAAGCCATATATTCAGAATATTAGATCATGGGGATCTATTACATACTACCATAGTAATATACATAAAGATAAGCTATCCCCTAGAAAGGA